TGAAAATTATCAGAGATTTATCTACACCGGGCAGGGCCCCCCTCAGCCTTGGCCTGGCAGCCCCCCAGTATCCGAGCCCCCCGTTAACCCTCCCCCATATAGTGCTGTCCATATATACGGGGGGGGGGTCGCTGTCCCTGGCTCATGGGGCGGGGAAGGGGCCGGCGGGTCCCGCTGGGGAGGGAGGCTCCAGGCGGCGGTTCTGGCGGCTGCCGTTCCCGGGCGTCCCCGCGGCCCGTGCCCAGCACCGGCGCCTCTCGCCCGCAGGGGAAGAGCCTGGCCCTGCACCTGCACCAGGCCCAGAAGCTGGAGGCGCCGCGCCGGCAGCGCTTCCCCAGCCGCTTCGTGGACGACATCGCCGCCCTGGTGGGCACCGTCAGCATCGAGATCGCCAGCCGCTACCAGAAGGTGGGTGCCCCCGCCCCCCTTCCCGCTTAGCTACCCCCCACCTTCATCTGTCCCCCCGTAACCCCCCAGCGTGTCCCTCCCTCCATCCCCAGCCTGTCCATCCCCAGTTGTCCGTCCATGGCCCGTGCCCCCCGGCCAGCCCCCCATAATCCATCCACATCCCCTGTCTGTCCCTCCCTCCGCCTGCCCTTGCTCGCCCCAGCCCGGCCTGCTCTCTCACCCCACCCGTTGCTCCTGGGCTGCTTGGAGCCCCGTGTCCCTGGGGGGCATTAACCCCCCCCCCGGCCTTGTCTCCGCAGGACGTGGGGCTGGTGGAGCACCTCAACAGCAGCCTGGCCTTCTTCCTCAACGACCTGCTCTCCCTGATGGACCGCGGCTTCGTCTTCAGCCTCGTCCGCCTCTACTACAAGCAGGTTGGCTGGGGCGTCCTCCCCATGGGACGTCCTGCAGCTGGGAGTTCCGCAGGCTTCGAAACCCCCAGGGTGTGGGCGGGTCTCCGCTTTGAGCCGCGGCCTCACAACCGGGGTGGGGATGGGCCTCCGGGCTACGGGAGACCAGCCAGTGAATGCCCAGAGCTGGGGAGGGGGTGGGCACGGGGCATCGCGGCGTGTACAGCTGGGCCCGGGGACGGGCGAGAAAGGGGATGATCAGAGGAGGACAGCTGGGCTGGCGGGGACAGGCAGGAAAGGGGATGATCGGGGGGGCAGGCGGGAAAGGGGGTGATCGGGGGGGACAGCTGGGCTTGGGGGGGACAGGCGAGAAAGGGGGCGGTCGGGGAGGACAG